ACAACCTGAAAGCAGCAGTCTTCTGTTCCTGGATCCCCCCCATCCCTCCTTTGAGCCTGGCCACCAGGAGAGACATTTAGATCCCCATAGATGCTGCAATAGGTTGGAACGCTGGTCCCTTGTGATGGGCTTGCCACCTCAGTCTGAGCTCCTAGTGTTTTTTGGAGTCACTCAAGGATCCAGTGGGTACAAAAGTTGATGACTTTTGTCTCAGCTCAGTCCCATTCCCTACTTTGCCTCTGTCTCACATACATAGAGAGCCCTGAGACTACAGACCATCAGCAATCCCATGAGCCTCATTCATCATCCCACTAAACTTGTTCTTTCCAAATTCTAACTGGCTTACAAAGGGCCCTCCACAGCCCTCTTTTGCCCTTTCTTTTCTTTTTTTAAATTTTACTTTAACTTCTGGGGTACATGTGCAGATCTTGCAGGATTGTTACATAGGCATACACATGCTATGGTGGTTTGCTGCCTCCATCCCCCCATCACCTACATCAGGCATTTCTCCTAATGATATCCCTCCCCAATCTCCCCACCTCCTGTTATCCCTCCCCTAACCCCCCACCCCCCAACAGACCCCAGTGTGTGATGTTCCCCTCCCTGTGTCCGTGTGTTCTCATTGTTCAACACCCACTTATGAGTGACAACATTCGGTGTTTGGTTTTCTGTTCCTGTGTCAGTTTGCTGAGAATGATGGTTTCCACATTCAACCATGTCCCTGCAAAGGACAGGAGCTCATCCTTTTTATGGCTGCATAATATTCCATGGTGTATAAGTGCCACATTGTCTTTGTCCAGTCTATCATCAATGGGCATTTTGGTTGGTTCCCAGTCTACAATTGTAAACAGTGCTGCAAGGAACATATGCGTACATGTGTCTTTATAATAGAACAATTTATAATCCTTTGGATATATACCCAGTAATGGGATTGCTGGGTCAAATGGAATTTCTATTTCTAGATCCTTTAGGAATCATCACACTGTCTTCCAAAATGGTTGAACTAAGTTACACTCCCACCGACTGTGTAAGAGTGTTTCTATTTCCTTTTACACTGTTGGTGGGAGTGTAAATTAGTTCAACCGTTGTGGATGACAGTGTGGCGATTCCTCCAGGACCTAGAAATAGAAATTCCATTTGACCCAGCAATCCTATTACTGGGTATATATCCAAAGGATTATAAATCATTCTCCTATAAGGACACATGCACACGAATGTTCGTTGCAGCACTGTTTACAATAGCAAAGACCTGGAACCAACCCAAATGCCCATTGATGATAGACTGGACAGGGAAAATGTGGCACATATACACCATGGAATACTATGCAGCCATCAAAAAACGATGAGTTCGTGTCCTTTGCAGGGACATGGATGAACCTGGAAACCATCATTCTCAGCAAACTGACACAGGAGCAGAAAATCAAACACCGCATGTTCTCACTCATAGGCGGGTATTGAACAATGGGAATACATGGACACAGGGAGGGGAGCACTACACACTGGGTTCTGTTGGAGGGAAATGGGGGAGGGACAGTGAGGGGTGGGGAGTTGGGGGGGAGGGCATAGGGAGAGATGCCAGATATAGGTGATGGGGAGGAAGGCAGAAAATCACACTGCCACGTGTGTACCTATGCAACAATCTTGCATGTCCTTCACATGTACCCCAAAACCTAAAATGCAATTAAAAAAAAGAAATCTTAAACAAACAAACAAAAAAGAGTGTTCCTTTTTCTCCACATCCTCTCCAGCATCTGTTGTCTCCAGATTTTTTAATGATCGCCATTCTAACTGGCGTGAGATGTTATCTCAATGTGGTTTTGATTTGCATTTCTCTAATGACCAGTGATGATGAGCATTTTTTCATGTTTGTTGGCTGCATAAATGTCTTCTTTTGAAAAGTGTCTGTTCATATCATTTGCCCACTTTTTGCTGGGGTTGTTTTTCTCTTGTATATTTGTTTTAGTTCTTTGTAGATTCTGAATATTAGCCCTTTGTCAGATAGGTATCTTGCAAAAAAATTTTTTGCCCATTCTGTTGGTTGCTGGTTCACTTAATGATTGTTTCTTTTGCTGTGCAGAAGCTCTTAAGTTTAATTAGGCCTCATTTGTCTATTTTGGCTTTTGTTGCCATTGCTTTTGGTATTTTAGTCATGGAGTCTTTGCCTGTGCCTATGTCCTGAATGGTATTGCCTAGGTTTTCTTCTAGGGTTTTTATGGTGTTAGGTCTTATGTTTAAATCTTTAATCCACCTGGAGATAATTTTTGTATAATGTGTAAGTAAGGGGTCCAGTTTCAGCTTTCTGCACATGCCTAGCCAGTTTTCCCAACACCTTTGCCCACTTTTTGATGGGGTTGTTTTTTTCTTGTAAATTTGTTTAAGTTCTCCATTAAAAATGCATCTTCTGAGATGATCATATGGTTTTTGTCCTTGATTCTGTTGATGTGATGTATCTCATTCTTGCATCCCTGAGATTAATCCCACTTGATCATAGTGAATTATCTTTATGATGTATTGTTTGATTCAGGTTGCTAGTCTTTTTTATTTTTTTTATTTTTAAAACTTTTATTTTGGGTTTGGGATACATGTGTAAGTTTGTTACCTAGGTAAAGTCATGTTACAGGATTTGTTGTACATATTATTTCATAACCTAGATATTAAACCTTGTATTTTGTTGGGGATTTTACATCTATGTTCATCAGAGACATTGGCCTGTAGTTTTCTTTGTTTTTCTTGTGTCCTTGTCTGGTTTTGGTATCAGGGTGATGCTGGGCTTGTAGAATGAGTTAGGCAGGATTCCCTCCTCTTCATTTTTTGGGGGGATAGTTTGAGAAGCATTGGTGTTACCTCTTCTTCAAATGTTTGGTAGAATTCAGCAGCAAAACCATCAAGTTTCTGGGCTTTTCTTTTTTGGGAGACCTTTTTTTTTTTTTTTTTTTTTAAATGATTCAATCTCATTACTCATTATTGGTTTGTTCAGGTTTTCTAGTTCTTTCTGATTCAATCTTGGCAGGTTTTACATGTCCAGGAATTTATCCTTTTCCTCTAAGTTTTCAAATTTATTAGTGTATAACTGCTCAAAACAATCTCTAATGACACTTTGTATTTCTTTGGCATTTATCGTAATGTCTCCTTTTTCAGTTCTGATTTTATTTATCTGGGCATTCTTTGTTGTTTCTTAGTCTAGCGGTTATTGACTAAGTGAGTAAACCACTTAGTCTAGTGGTTTATTGATTTTGTTTATCTTTCTGAAGAACCAACTTTTTCTGTAGTTCTGCTGTGATCTTTATTACTCATTTCCTTACACTATTTTTCAGTATGGTTTGCTCTTGCTTTTATAGTTTCTTTTTTCTTTTTAATTTTTGTGAGTACATAGTAGGTGTATATATTTATGGGGTACATAAGATGTTTTGATGTAGGCATACAATGTAAAATAATCACATCATGGAGAATGGGTTTTCCATCCCCTCAAGCATTTATCCTTCGTGTTACAAACAATCCAATTACACTCTTTTAGTTATTTTAAAATGTACAATTAAGTTATTATTGACTATAGTCACCCTGTTGTGTGATCAAACAGGTCTTATTCTTTCTAATGAATTTGTATATCTATTAACCATCCTCCCCTCTCCCACAGCCCCCAACCCCGGCTACCCTTCCTAGCCTCTGGCAACCATTCTTCCACTCTCTATGCCCGTAAGTTCAATTGTTTCGATGTTTAGATTCCATAAATAAGTGAGGACATGTGACATTTGTCTTTCTGTGCCTGGCTTCTTTCACTTAACCTCCAGTTAACCTCCTTAATGACCTCCAGTTCAATCTATGTTGTTGCAAATGACAACATCTCATTCTTTTTCATGGCTGAAGAGTACTCCAGCATATATATGTACCACATGTTCTTTATCCATTTATCTGTCAATGGGCACTTTGGTTGCTTCCAAATCTTGGCTATTGTGAACAGTGCTGAAGTAAACATGGGAGTGCAGTGTATCTGTTTGATACACTGATTTCCTTTCTTTGGGGCATATACCCAGCAGTGGGATTGCTGGATCATATGTAGCTCAATTTTTAGCTTTCTGATGAACCTCCATGCTCTTCTCCATAGTGGTTGTATTAATTTACATTCACACCAACAGTGTACAAAGGTTCCCTTTTTTCTACATCCTCACAAGCATTTGTTATTGCCTGTCTTTTAGATATAAGCCATATTAACTGGGGTGAGATAATAATCTCATTGTAGTTTTTAAAACTTTTTAAATTTTTACTTTTAAGTTCAGGGGTACATGTGTAGGTTTATTAAATAGATAAACTTGTGTCATAGGGGTTTGTTGACTATTCCATCATCCAGGTAATAAGCCTAGTATCCATTAGTTATTTTTTCTGATCCTTTCCCTCCTCCCATCCTCTGCCCTCCAATAGACCCCAGTGTCTGTTGCTCCCCTCTCTGTGTCCATGTGTTCTCATAATTTAGCTCCGACTTATAAGTGAGAACATATGGTATTGAGTTTTCTTTTATTGTGTTAGTTTGCTAAGGATAATGGCCTCCAGCTCTGTATATGTTCCTGCAAAGGACATGATCTCTTTATTTTTTGTAGCTGCATGGTATTCCATGGTGTATATGGACCACATTTTCTTTTTTTCTTTTTTAAGTGAATGTATCCATTTTTATTATGAAACATCAAATTTTGACACATTGCTTCATTTGCTTTTTTAATATCTATTATCTGACATAAACCTATTCAGCAAAAATGCCAATAAATTATATAAATTCTAGTTTGGGTCTTTTTAAAACTGGGAACATAGTATGTTTTATGATAAACAATAATAATAAATCTGAGTTTTATGAACTGTTAATTTGAAATTTGTTTTAGATATTTAGCTTAAAACAAAAAGAAAACCAATCACATTAATACACTGTTGCAAAAGTTTCTTAGAAATGCCTTCCACATCACTGTGTATCAGCATCCTTCGGCTTCTTCTCTGAGGTACAGAATGCAGCCATTCTAATTTCTTTAAAATAAAATAATCAGCTAAGAACTCAAATGCTGAATTTAGAAATAATAATTCCAATTCAACACATTCAATCAAATGTGTTAGTACTTAGAAGTCACAAATTTTGAAAAGTAAACAACCAATGAACTAAGGCAAATAGTATTGCCACCACATGCCTTAAAATTGTATATTTTTGGTGTTTGAAGCTCTTTGCAAATTATATTTTGGGACAGTTCAGATGGATTTAAATAAAATATGTGTGTTCTACATAAATTTAGTTTTAAGGTTTTCAACATGGGTAGCAACATTACAAAAATATGTCAATAGTGAATGTTTTCCACTTGGTTTCTAAATCTTTATTTTCTGTGGAGGTAAACCAAAGTTTAAATTCCATCTTCAAAGTTACAATATATTCTCTATTGTTCCTAGAGATTTTAAAGCTAGATATGATCGAGGTCCTTGCCAGGATCTTCACTTTCATCATCCTCATCCTCTTGGTCTCTGGATTCAAGTTCATCCTCTGCCTCAACCAGATGACCAAGATCCTTGAGTTTGTTCTGCAATGAAAGTAGTTTCTGATCTTGATTAGCCAAGAGCACTAAGGAGATCATCCTGTTTTTTAGATGAATCCAGCTGCTCTTTAATTGCAGTTCTTTCCTCAGACAGAGCTTAAATTTCATTCTTCAACTCTTTAGTCTCTTGTAATAATGCTGACAGTCTTCCTTCTATATCAGTAGTTTTGGTGGCTATTACAGTCTCATTCTCTCCTTGTACCTCAACTAATTTTGCAAATGCTTCTGTTTTCTGTAACAGTTCCTGCTTTTCTGTCTGGAGTTTGGTGATCTCCACAGATTGTGAGTTTAACTGAGACTTTAAAGTTTCCAGTTCCTGTTTTAATTCTGCAACTTGTTCAGAATCTCTAGCTGAAGCTATTCCTAAAGACTGTTCATTTGTTTCAGATGTTTGGGAAGATTTCAAATTTTCAATCATAGAGTCCTTTTCAGTCAGCTGGCTTTGTAAAAGTTCCTGATTACGTTTTAATTCTTCTATCTCTTCTTGCAATCTACCAATTTATTCTGGCTGAATGCCATTCATCTGAGCCCCCTCACTGTTAAGAATCTTGAGGCTGATTATCTTTTCCTAGCTGTATTTTAAGAAGATTATACTGGTATGGACATTTTCTTATATCCACTCTGTCATTGATGGGCATTTAGGTTGACTCCATGTCTTTGCTATTGTGAATAGTGCTGAAATGAACAAAGGCGTCTTTACATTAGAATGATTTATATTCCTTTGAGTATATACCCAGGGATGGGATTGCTGGGTTGAATGGTATTTCTATTTTTGGGTCTTTGAGGAATCACCACACTGTTTTCCATAATCGCTGAACTAATTTACATTTCCAACAACAGTTTATAAGCATTCCATTTTCTCTGCAACCTCACCGGTGTCTGTTATTTTTTGACTTTTTAATAATAACTATTCTTGATCATTAAAAAATCTGGAGACAACAGATGCTGGAGAGGATGTGGAGAAATTGGAACACTTTTACACTGTTGGTGGGAGTGAAAATTAGTTCAACCATTGTGGAAGACAGTATGGCAATTCCTCAAGGATCTAAAAATAAAAATACAATTTGACCCAGCAATCCTGTTACTGGGTATATGCCCAAAGGATTATAAATCGTTCTATTATAAAGACACATGCACATGTGTGTTCATTGCGGCACTGTTTACAATAGCAAAGACCTGGAACCAACCCAAATGCCCATCGATGATAGACTGGACAGGGAAAATGTGGCACATATACACCATGGAATCCTATGCAGCCATAAAAAACAAGGAGTTCCTGTCCTTTGCAGGGACATGGATGAACCTGGAAACCATCATTCTCAGCAAACTGACACAAGATCAGAAAATCAAACACTGCATATTCTCACTCATAGGTGGGTGTTGAACAATGAGAACACATGGACACAGGGAGGGGAACTTCACACATTGGGGTATTTTGGGGGGTGGGGGGCTAGGAGAGGGACAGTGGTGGGTGGGGAGGTTGGAGAGGGATAACACTGGGAGAAATGCCTGATGTAGGTGGTGGGGGGAAAGGAGACAGCAAACCACCATGGCATGTGTGTACCTATGCAACAAGCCTGCAAGATCTGCACATGTACCCCAGAACTTAAAGTACAATTTTATAAAATAGCTATTCTGACTGGTGTGGGATAGCATGTTATTGTGGTTTTGATTTACATTTCTGTAATGATCAGTGATGAGCTGTTTTGTATGCTTGTTGGCTTGAATGTATGTCTCTTATGAAGCAGTTTTTATTTGTATTTTTCTGATGATCAATAACATTGAGCACCTTTTCATATGCCTGTCAGTTGTCTTCTGTTGAGAAATGTGTATTCAAATCTTTGGTCCATCTTTTAATCAGATTATTGGATTTTTTTCCTATAGAGTTGTTTGAGCTTCTTAAACACTCTGGTTATTAATCCCTTGTCAGATGGGTAGTTTGCAAATAATTTCTCCTGTTCTGTGGGTTGTCGCTTCACTTCGTTGATTGTATTGTTTGTTGTGCAGAAGTTTTTTAAGTGCATGTCATCCCATTTGTCCATTTTTGCTTTGGTTGTTTGTACTTTTGGTGTATTGCTGAAGAATTTTTCACCCAGGCCAATGTCTTAGAGATTTTCCCTAATGTTTTCTTGTAGTACTTTTATAGTTTGATTGTCTTAGATTTAAGTGTTTAATCCATTTTAATTTGATTTTTGTATATGGTGAGAGATCTCAGAGGTCTGAATTTCATTCTTCTGCATATGGATATCCAGTTTTCCCAGCACCATTTATTTATGTGCCTGTCTTTTCCCCAGTGTGTGTTCTTGGCACCTTTGTCAAAAATTAGTTCACTGTAGGTGTGCGGATTTGTCTCTGGGTTCTCTATTCTGTTCCATTGGTCTATGTGTCTATTCTTAATTCCAGTACCATGCTGTTTGGTTACTATAGCTCTGTAGTATATATTTGAAGTCAGGTAATGTGATTCTTCCAGTTTTGTTCCTTTTGCACTTTGGCTATTCTAGGTCTTTTGTGGTTCCATACAAATTTTAGGATTTTTTTCTATTTCTTTGAAGACTATAATAGGTATTTTGATAGGAATTGCATTGAATCTGTAGATTGTTTGGGTAGTATGGACACTTTAATAATGTTGATTCTTCCAATGCATGAACATGGAATATTTTTCTTTTCTTTCCCTTTTTTTTTTCCTCTTCAATTTCCTTCAACAGTGTCTCATAGTTTTCATTATAGAGGTCTTTCACTTCTTTGGTTAAGTTAATTCCTAGGTATTTAATTTTATGTGTGGCTATTGTAAATGGGATTACTTTTTCATTTCTTTTTCAGATTGTTCATTGTTGGCATGTAGAAATGCTACAGACTTTTCTATGTTGATTTTGTGGCCTGCAACTTTACTGAATTTGTGTGTAAGTTCTAATAGTTTTCTTGTGTATTCTTTAGGTTTTTCCCAATATAAGATCATACCATCTGCAAATAAGGGTAATTTGACTTCTTCCTTTCCAATTTGGATGCCCTTTATATCCTTCTTTTGTCTGATGGCTCTAGCTAGAATTTCCAGTAGTATGTTGAATAACAGCGGTGACAGTGGGCATCCTTATTGTGATTCTGATCTTAGAGAAAAGGCTTTCTCTTTTGGCCCATCCAGTATGATACTAGCTATAGGTCTGTCATATGTGGCTTTTAATATGTTGAGGTATGTTTCTTCTATACCCAGTTTTTTAGGGTTTTTATCATGAAGAGATATTGAATTTTTTCAAATGTTTTTTTAGCATTCATTGAAATAGTCATATGGTTTTTTTCCTTCATTCTTTTGATATGATGTATTACATTGATTGACTCGTGTATGTTGAACCATCCTTGCATCCTAGGGATAAATCCCACTTGATTATGATGAATGTTCTTTCTAATATATAGTTGAATTAGGTTTCCTAGTATTTTGTTGAGGATTTTTGCTTTATTATTTATCAGAGACATTGGCCTGTAGTTTTTTGTTTTGTTTTTTATTTTGTTTTTTATTTTTGTTTTTGTTTTATTGATGTGTCTTTGTCTGGTTTGAGTAGCAGGGTAATACTGGTCTCTTAGAATAAGTTTGGAAGTATTCCCTCCTCCTCTGTTTTTCGGAATAGTTTGAGTAGGTTTGGTATTATTTCTTTAAATATTAGGTAGATTTCGGCAGGGAAGCCATTAGGTCCCGAACTTTTGTTTGCTGGAAGACTTTTTATTATAGTTTTGATCTCATTTCTTGTTATTGGTCTGTTTTGGTTCTGAATTTCTTCAGGGTGCAATCTTGTAGGTTATATGTGTCTAGTAATTTACCCATTTCCTCTAGATTTTCAAACTTATTGTTATATAGTTGTTCATAGTAGCCACTAATGATCCTTTGAATTTCTGAAGTATCAGTTATAATGTTTCTTTTTCATTTCTGATTTTATTCATTTGCATTTTCTTTTTTGTTAGTCTAGCTAATGGCTTGTCAATTTTGTTTAACTTTTTCAAAAAAACAACTTTTTGTTACATTGATACTTTGTACTGTTTTCTTTGTTTCAGTTTGTTTCTGCTCTTTATTGTTTCTTTTCTTCTAGTAATTTTGGGTTTGGTTTGCTCTTGCTTTTCTAGTTCTTTTTTTTCCCCCCATTTATTTATTTTATTGCATTTTAGGTTTTGGGGTACATGTGAAGAACATGCAAAATTGTTGCATAGGAACACACGTGGCAGTGTGATTTGCTGCCTTCCTCCCCATCACCTACATCTGGCATTTCTCCCCTTGCTATCTCTCCCCAGCTTCCCACCCCCCACCGTCCCTCCCCTATTTCCCCCCAACTGACCCCAGTGTGTCGTGCTCCCCTCCCTGTGTCCACGTGTTCTCATTGTTCAACACCCGCCTATCAGTGAGAACATGCGTTGTTTGATCTTCTGCTCTTCTGTCAGTTTGCTGAGAATGATGGTTTCCAGGTTCATCCATGTCCCTACAAAGGACCCAAACTCATCGTTTTTGATGGCTGCATAATATTCCATGGTGTATATGTGCCACATTTTCCCTATCCAGTCGATCGTCGATGGGCATTTGGGTTGGTTCCAGGTCTTTGCTATTGTAAACAGTGCTGCAATGAACATTCGTGTGCACGTGTCCTTATAGTAGAACGATTTGTAATCCTTTGGATATATACCCAGTAATGGGATTGCTGGGTCAAATGGAATTTCTATTTCTAGTTCTTTAAAATGCGTGGTTAGATTGTTCATTTGAAATTTTTCCTCTTTTTTTTATGTAGGCCCTTAGCACTACAAATTTCCTTCTTAATACTGCTTTTGCTGCATCCCATAGGTTTTGGTATGTTGTGTTTCCATTATCATTTGTTTCAATAATAGTTTTCAATTTCCTTCTTAATTTTTTCATTGACTCACTGGTCATTCAGGAGCATATTTTAAAATTTCCATAGTTTCCAAAATCCCTCTTGTTATTGATTTCTAATTTTATTCCACTGTTTTCAGAGAAGATGCTGGGTATTATTTCAATTTTTGAATGTTTTAAGGCATGTTTTGTGACCTAACATATGGTCTATCCTTGAGAATGATCCTTGTGATGCGGAAAAGAATGTGTACTCTGCAGCTCTTGGATGAAATGTTCTGTAAATATCTATTAGATCCATTTGGTCTAGTGTAGGTTAAGCCCAATGTTTCTTTGTTAATTTTCTGTCAGGAAGATCTGTCCAATGCTAAAAGTGGGATGTTAGTCTCCAGCTCTTATTGTATTGTGGTTTGTTTCTCTCTTTAGTTATAATATTATTTGCTTTATATATCTGGATGTGCCAGCACTCATGGCATACATATTTAAAATTGTTATATCCTCTTGCTAAGTTGAACCCTTTATCATTATATAGTGACCTTCTTTGTCTCTTCTTTAGTTTTTGTCTTGAAATCTATTTTGTCTAATACAAGTATAGTGACTCCTGCTCTTTTTTGTTTTCCATAGGCATGGTGTGTCTTTATAGGTGAAGTGTGTTTCTTATAAGTAACAGATCAATGGTTTTGTTTTTTTCATCCTTTGGATGAAAAAGGCCACTCTATATCTTTTGATTTAAGAGTTAAGTTCATTTACATTCAATGTTATTAAGTAAGGACTTACTCTTGCCATTTTGTTATTTGTTTTCTGGTTGTTTTGTGGTGTTCTCTTCTTTATTTCTTTACTTCTTGTCTTCCTTTAGTGAATGTGATTTTCTCTGGT